TGAGAAGTCCTTGGAGTAAACATGAGATCATCTAATAGCCACAATGATATGAAGCATTCTTGTACTAATGTTTTTGAACATCAGTACTATTTAGCTCCAAATGATAAGGACATTTTCGCATAAATAGGGCTGCCTATTTACCGTCTAAAATGTACTTGTTAAACATAGCAATCATTCTATTTCTGTTTTCCTGAATATACTTAAGATCCAAAGGTAGTGGAGTCAACGCTTATCAGGGAAAATTATAAAATAAGTTTTATATGAATCGAAATAATGTCAAAATTTGTGTGTATGGATATTCAATAAAGTGAGAGGGTCAATAAATGTCTAATAGAATACTAGCGATCCGCTAATGTGGTGTCAGTGTGGAGTAATTATACTATTATTATGATACGACTACAGGACATCTTTATACGCAATATTTATTGGCCCGCTCCTCTCCTGCCGGCCGCTGCCGCCCGGAACGAAAGTACGGCTCGACGCGGCGACAGCCGCTTTGCTCCCGCATTTAAAATCTCTGATATCTACTAAGATATTCATTTGAATGATATGCTGTAAAAGGCAATTTTCATCTACATTAAATACACAACGTACTTATTTGGATACAGAATAATATTGTATTGTTCAAAATAGCTTCGTAAATTCCATCCCTAACATAAACATTTCCGTGAATCCAATTCCGTAGTTACATTATTTTAATCTATCTCGTAAGGTTTAGCTGGCGTATGCAATGTAAGCTCACAAAAACTTGTTTTTTAAGACTTCATATTACAATAAATTTCAAGGATTTCCTTGATTTTTACTTCCCTTACCAAACATTGTAACTTCCTTTATCATAGTATACATATATCCAAGCTTTTATTGTTATTAATTGGCAATAACTTTTCCTTTGAACCAAGATGTTATGAGATAATAAGCAGTTTTACTTTTAGCCCAATTTAATCTGAGCACGGTCATTTAGGCTAGAATCACACTACGAGATTACCAAACCGACGCGAATTTGAAAATTTGTCGACGCTGTTGCGGTTTTTTCGTCAAGTGCCTGCAGTAGGTACTAATGAAACCGCTCTGTTACAACCCTCAGACGCGACGTCATGTTGTAACGACTTTCTGCCGTGCTGCTAAAATATTTATTATAATAATAATATACATAGCATTTTCTAAGCCACGAAGGTTTATAATAAATGCTGAGGTTTAGTCTAGATCGGTACAAAAATAAAAAAAAGGCAATAACAAAAAAAAGAAATATCTGAATACAGTATAAAACAGTCCTACATAAATAAAAAAGTAAAACAGATAAAGCAAAAAACAAAATAGATATTATTAATTTTGGTTTAAAGAAATGGTCGCACTTTAGATTTAAAGTTCATTGGCGTCAGAATATCTCGCAATTCGGTGGGTAGGTTGTTAATAAATCTGGGAACTAAGTATTCGGTTGTTCTTTCACCGTAAATGTTATTTGTCGCCGCTCGACTAGTTTCGCAAACAAGATTCCGAGCAGCGGCCCTTGTGTATACAGCGTGTGTTTTTTTTCAAATGCACTAGTAAAAAAGTTTCTTTCAGTAAATTGTATTTTTTACTGGGAGGATTTGACAGTGTTTGAAAAGACCACTGTCATCGTTTTAGGATTGTCGGATTATTAATGACCTTAAGTACTTGTTCACTAGAAACTTTTTGATAAAATACACTTGCATTGGCTTCCGCGCTGTAAGTATTTGGGTTTTTGGGTACTAGGCATTTTATGTTACAATTAGGAATTAACAATCACTGAAACCAGTAGCAAAATTGTTTGTAACAGTTTTGGTTGATAACTGCTGCGTGTTGAATGCCTTTGATATGGCCGTGGGGAGTTGATAGACAGCGTCGCTCGCCCTAACATTTGGTTAATTATTTCATATATTTTTTTAGTATTCCTGAAGTTATTATTCATAATCTTTGTATAATACTTATTCCGTTTAAATTTTATAATTTTGTGTATTTTATTTCGTGTTTTGTTCTATTGTAATCGTATTTCGAGGTTATTTGTATTCTTTTTTCACTGTCAAAAAAGTATATTTCGTTTTTCCACATAGGCGAGTGACGTAATCGTCGATCTACGGCATTATGGCTCTGTTTTTACTAGAATCTATTTAGTATATTTTTTTACATGTAGCTTATGTATCTTTTTCGCATTATTAAACGAATTACATATAAATTGATAAATATCATTCGGACAGCGCATTTCTTTTGTACGCGACTCGACGACGACTTCGACGACTCGGTCCGAAGTAACTCATTATTAAAAATATTTTTTGAAACAAAAAAAAGTCATTCGTAGAGGTACATTTGGGTATTTCTGTTATGTGTGTACATGAGTCCATTAGTTATTGTTAGGATTTTATTAAATCAATATAAATTTAGCTAGGTAGCTACAACAATAAGGTAGATCTATGTGGTCTTTAGAAGTTGATCAATATCGTTTAGTGAACGGATATAGTATATTGTTCTGTTACTTTCCCTTCTAACACACACTTTGCCATCCCTACACCAAATATACAACTTATTTAATTGAGCTTATGCATTATATAAAGGGGTGTTAGTATACTTAGTGAGGGCTTCCCTGACATAGATATTATCCCTGGGGATGTCGGGCAGCAAGAATCCCGCTGTGATTAGTTTTCCCTACTGGCATTTTCCACTGCTTACGGGCTAGAGTATTCTTCATTTCAATCAGGATAGCACAAGTCTTTGTTCCAGGTAGTCGTTGTAAACACTGTATATCTGATTGGTCCACATTTAGCTTCAAGGCTACCGTTGTTACGACTTTCCTAAGGTCCTTCGGAGCGGGCAACAGGCAAGCCGGCTATCTCCAAGGAAGATGATAGGGACTTTTGTTCGATAGCTTTTTGCCCGTTCTCCAAAACAGCTACTCTCAATTCTAAATTTTTATTTTTAATTTATTAATCTTCGTTTTTGTTCTGTAGGGTCTTAATAGTCGTTTCTTGGTTTTTTAGAGACTTCTCCATTGTGGTTATCTTTTCACTTAAGAATTCTAGTGAGCTTTCCAGATTGCTTAATTCTTCCCAGAAGCTTTTTTTAGTTCTCGGCTAATATATTGCACTAGTTTACGAGTATCCAGGGTTTGGACGGTCGTGGGAGACCCCCACCTCGGAGTCATCGTCGACTTCATCTGGAATCATGAATGATGACCTACGAGAGATGTTTTTTAGGTATTCCTCACAGCTCCATAAGTTAGAGAGCTTAGCGCATGTACAGTATTATTTCACCTACTGCACTGTAATCCTGGCTTTGTTATAGTAATATTTTTAGTACATTTAGGACACTTTTTCAACAGCATTGTAGGTAGGTAAATAATCTCTTATTACACATTCTGTGTCTGGTAATTTTAACTATACATATATCGAACCGTAATAATTTATAAGGGGAAATCATAGATTCTGACCAATGTATGACTCAGAGTCAAAGATTCCTAAAGAATCTTTAGAGGTGGAATTGCCATGAGTCATTTTGTGGAATCAGTCCGGTTGTGCGATCGGCTGAAACAACGGCCTTGGAGAAAACCGGTGTTTAACAATTCTTTCGTTGTTTGTCACCAATACAGTGAGATTACCAGAGGCAAAGCGCGGTAACGCTCCTGTGCAACCTTCCTCTATACCGTAAAATACATTCCAATGTATAGTTTTCCTGAGTGTGATTCACCAATGAGTTGACAAACATTTATTCTCTACGGTTAATGCTGTATCATCTTCAGTTGTGTGTATCGCATCTGCAAAATACACATTACATACAGTGCAGTACCTTATACTTATTTACAAACGCAACAATTATGATGAGTTAAAATACGCCACTACACTAGGCGTTAGCAACACGAATATAGTAAGGTACCTATTGTATAATTTTACAACACTTACTCAAACTATTTACTCGCCGTGCACTGTCATAAATCATTAAAGCGGTATAACAATATTGCACTCTCTTTCTCACTTATTGGTAGCTCACGGCCCTTGTAAGCGGCGGGCAAGGACTTACTGTTCAAATAATATAATCGATAAATGTTATCGATATAAATTTTCTCTGACAGTCACTTCCGACTGTCCTTTTTTTATCGATAAGAAGCTGGCGTTCTAACCACTTTCCCACATACGTATAATTCAGACGAGACTACGTCATCGGAGGCCGCGCAAACGGTAACGTGTGAAATATTAATTTGTCATGCTTACTTTTCTATAAAGTAATTGGCGTAATAATGATTGTGATCAGAAATTTATACTTAATGTTTAGATTAATGTAGAAATAGGATAATCCCCCCCCCTTTTCCCCTGTGCGGAAATTATGTCGGACTCGAAATCACTGTTACACCGCTCCTCCCCCCGATTCTGGGACGCTGATTGATTGATTGACTTATTCTTCCTTTCTAAATATCCTTTCATATCATTGACTTTAGAAGTTTGTTTATTTTCAGCTTCAAAGGATGCAGCCATAAGTCTTTGATATTAATTTTTTCTTTCAAATTTTCCTGAGAAAGGGATGTAGAGACAGACAACAAAATGATCCTATAAAAGTTCCTATTTTTTTCTTTTCAAAAACTTTATATTTAAGCTATAATATATGTAAAAATTGTGTGTATGTACCTATACTATATTATTAAGTCAAATATCTCGTTAGCTTCAAGTATACACCTACCATTCGCAACTCTGCATCACCCCAAAGGTCGACTGGAAATGCCTATGGCCTGAAGTCTGCCTAATGCACTATCATTTTTCAAGGAACTATAATAAATAACTAAAAAGGAAACTCAATAAAGTATAATTTATTTTTCATTTTTATTCATAGACAAAAAGTTTTGAACTCTGAACACAGGTTTAATATGGTGATTCATTTGATGTAATAGACAAATATCATTACTTTAAGCGACAAGCACCCAGTAAAAAGACGCACTTTATTCATGGCCTCATTTTACGACGCGTTGTTGTAATATCGTTATAACAAACCGTCGTAAAATGTACACTACTATAGTTTCCTTAGACACGGTCAAGGGTCAGTAAACTCAACAGTATCTCATACTACAAGAAGGGGATAGTGTTGTCCCCTAGCTGTGTTTTGGAATAAGCAGCAAATTTTGTATTTATTATACAAAGCTACAGATTATTATTTACAGTACACAGCCTACTTCTATCTTTTTAGCTTAGCCCAATAATGACTGTTAAGTAAGTAGTCTAGTGTCATAATTATGTTATTTTACCATTCAAGAAAAATTGATTACAGTTATTTTTAAAAATTAAAAATAAACCTTAATAATCCACTTGACATAGGCCTCTCCTATTGCACGCCACTTAGATCGATTTTGGCCTTCTCTTCTTGGATGGCCTATGTCCAGCGGTGGACTGCGATAGGCTGATGATGAATCCACTCGATGTAAAGTGACTTGACATCTGTCATAGAGGTTACACACTTGACAGATACCTGTCAAGTCTGTAACCAGATTAGGACACAACACGCATATTATAGGCCAGAGGTTTTTAACTTTTCATATCATATACCAATATTTTAACCACGCATAGCGGTTAACCTTCAGGTCTACCTACTAAATTATCATTTTTATTGTTTGTTATAGAATTTTTTTCTTATCATTCAATGCCCACCCAAAACCAATAATTGTATGATTAACACAGTCATATGTTTAGTATCTGGGTGTAATTTTATCTATGTGGGTATTTAGAAATATAAAATTAAGCATATTTATCAGCAGTCTGGTCTGGTTACCACAGTAGGTGCCTCTACTTAGTTTGAAACCAGACGGCCTTGTATGAGTTGTCTTAAGTTATTATTAATATTCGTAATAATTAGTGGGGATTTGAAAACTGGTCCTGCATCAACGAAAATACTTTCTATATTGTCAACATCACATTGACACGATGACGCAGACTCAGCCGCCTTTTTTTGCTGACCGCTAATCACTATTTTTTTTACTAGACCATGTTTTCATAAAGATTCAGTCTTCATTATATATACATGTTTCTATCTTTAGTATACACATTTAAAAACGTATATACTTCAGTTTACATTCTTTTATTAAACTTTAAACAATAACTAATTCTCTTGAAAGAAATTGCTAAGTCATTTTAATATTCACAAGGTCAAAAAATAATGAGATAGTGTTCTGTAGTATATAGAAATCGTGTGCAGTTAGTCACTACTATTACGTACCGAGGTATATTGAATACAGTTTCGTGTTTTTTGTTTGTTTCACATCTTTCCTCTCGCTTTCCACAATCAGTGGGAGAGATTTTATGAAAAGGGATGTAACAGGAGGACGGGAAAAGTATCCCCGGTCTCTTCTCAGCAAATCAAATTTGATTTGAATAATGCTGGCATGCGGCGCTGTGCAGTGAGATGTCACATTACATTCGACTACTTTGAAGCTTGTTTTTCTTTCTGTCTTTATAACTCCTTATACTAAAAAGTTTAGCCATAATATATATTCCGGATCATCATAATTTGATTAAGGTATATGTAAAAGACAATCGCCGATATTACCATGCAATGCCATCTAATTTTGACGCGGTCACTATAAAATGTTACTTAAAAAAATAAGAAACGATTTAGATCTCACAACGTTTTGAGGTTAGAATAGCTGCGTTGCGACTTGCGAAGCTTGGGTGTTTTTTTATATGTTTTACCGGAGTATTTCTACTAGAATTGTTGTTTTAGTTTTTATTCAACAATTACTATTATACCATGTTTTGTCTGGGAAGTCAGGTCTATTAACCATTTGACAAGTTTATAGTGAAATCTTAAAAAAAACATACAATAATATTTAAATTCAAAACTCATAAAGAAGCGACAGAAATGAAATAATTGTGTAACCATGTTTAAATAAACACTGACGCGGTATTTTCAAACTTAGGATCATGACAACGAAACTTGTGCGAAGGTCAGCTCAGCATGAATCATTATAAAAAAGCCAGTGATGTCATTAGAACTACTACCTATAGAAAGAATACTAAGTACGAACTTCTTATACAGACTGACCTAGACATCGGCTAAGCAAGCATGCTCTCTTTTTTATACATTAGATTATTTATATAGATAGAGTGAGAACACTAGTATTTATTTGGTATCGCGAGTAACACGGGTTTAATCAATTAACATACCAAAACACAAGTATAATAACTATATGATACTTTAGTGAGTGCCAAGCCAAGTGCCAACCAATCTGTGCGCGCTGTCAGTATTCACGCGAAGTCGGACAAGTGCGGACGATTGTACGCCAAAGTTCCTAGTGCTTTCGTTTGAGTTTTAACTGTGATATTATTTATAATTATTTTATTGTAATTACGGTAAGTTTTTATAATAAATTGTTCACTAGAAGTAGTGAACGTTTAGTGGAACGCTTGCAACTTCTAATTACTAACGTAAAATCGTGTTGTACTTATATACTACTTATAACTTTGTGGAGTTAAATCAAGGTGACTAGGTGCTGGAATGATCATACGTTTCCACAATGAATAATACAGATAATTGTGATGCAGTTGCCGCTATCGTAAATTTTAAGTCACCGATAAAATCTTATTTGAACACGATTGCCTTTAACGGCGACTGAAATCGATAAATATTCGGTCAATGACTTTTGGAATCATCAGAATCATCATTACTTAAATCGTGGTTTGGTGAAATTTGTAGAATTTATAATGTAGGTGTGAAGGAAATGCCTTATCAGACAGGTGGAAGAAGACATTATCCATGATAAAAAACCATCATGATAACTATACATGATTGGATTAGATATCAAGTACATTACACAGCATTAGCAAATTTAAAAAAAAACTTGCCCTTAAACTAATTTCAGGAGTAGTATTTGTCATCTATGAATCATAGACGATGACAGACTTGATCTTGGGAATTGAACAGAAAAACGGGAATGATGTTTACGTAATGATATAAAAGTAAAATTACTAGCGGAAAGGGAGATAGCCCGTGTGGAGAATACGGAGCGTCATCACTCTTATTTATCCCGTGGGTGTCGTAAGAGCCGGCTAAGGGAGCAAACTACGCAGACACAAACCCTGTAAGAACCCGTCTGGCCAACGTGGTATTGTAGCCCGAAACATCCTTTGTAATGAGAGGCCGATGTCCAGCAGTGGACTCTTAAAGACTGTTGATGATGTTTAACACTGAGGAAATGATGACCTACTTTTTAACTATTTAAAAACCCTCTTTCTTTCTATGGGCAGCTGCAATCTCTTTCCAGCATGTGACTCAACTGTTCGCCTACCCCTATACCATAAAAAATAAAGACTATTTAAAAGCACACAAGCAAAAAAAACAATCAATTTTTGAAGTTTATGGGGCTGTACACTTTCACATGGTGTTACCATAAGCCATATTTTATTTGCTTTTTAATCTTTACAGATACAATGGCCATTCACATTAAAGACATCGATGACCTGAAGGTCAAGCTGGCGGAGGCCGGCGACAAGCTGGTGGTGATCGACTTCATGGCCACTTGGTGCGGACCCTGCAAGATGATCGGTCCTAAACTAGAGGAGATGGCAACAGAAATGAGCGATGAGATTGTTGTTCTAAAGGTAAATATCTCATTTTAAGGCAGAGTTGAAAAATAATTAGCCTTGACTTAGTTTTAAAATGATTACTCTCTGACTCTGATCAGCTTCTACATCTGACTAATAAAAAAAATATAGCTTATACTTGCAGTATTATAATGACAGATTTTGACTAAATGAAGCGCAATTTCAAAAACATTTGTGTCTGTAAGATCGTTTTGGTAAATCTCCGGAAAGGATCAACTATTTTCGAGGTAGATGTGGTTATAGGGCCTAATATACAATCCTATACAAAATTTTGCTGTTATTCGCTAAGCTGTAATGTTAAATAATATTTTATTTAACATTACAGATTAGTCCAATTAAAAAAAACTGAAGAAATGGCTATTGTTTCACACAATAAGGATATTAACACTGAAAACAAATTTGTATTATAAATGATTAAAATTATTAATTGTTACCAGACCTATTAGAACTGTTGAATCCTATGTATTATGTTATGATGGTGTCGTTAAGAGACTTCGATGTGTAGGTATAGTTGCCACTTCTAGAGTGAAATAGTATCAAATCCTTAGATACTTAAAATCGAAGTACTTGCAAAAGAAAGTCGATAACTTATCTTACGGTACCTACGTAAAAATCGAAAAAAATCTAAGAAATCAAAACTCACATATCCAAAGCCCACTGTCACTATAGTATTTTTTTTTTTATTGTTTGAGTAAACTAGTATAGCATTGTTGCAGAATATATATATATATATATATATATATATATATATATATATATATATATATATATATATATATATATATATATATATATTATTATGTTGTTTTCATAGCACAATGTAAACGTTCAAAAGCTAATAATTACTTGCATCAATTTAGAAGTTCCAAAATATATGAAGCAATTAACAAAGAATTCAAGGCCACACATTTAAATGGCTATACACTTCGAATTGTTAAAATTTAATGTACTATGTGTGTGTGTGTGTACTATACAAATATTATAGCAACTTGTATAATTGAAATGGTTTGGTTTCAATAGTACGTTTTATGAGTACCTACATAAAAATCGATGTTTGCGTTACGGTTAATCGGTTCGGTACTACATCCATACATAAGTGTGAAAGTGAGTTTGTTTGTTACGCTTTCACGCCTAAACCACTAAACCGATTTTATAAATACTTTCACCAATGACAAGCTACATTAACAGCGAGTAATACAGGCTACTTTTTAACCGACTTCAAAAAAAGGAGGAGGTTCTCAATTCGACTGTATTTTTTTTTGTTTGTTTGTTACCTCATAACTTTTGACTAGGTGAACCGATTTTGAGGCTAGTTTTATATAGGGAAGGAAGGCTAGTTTTGTATAAACGTTGTCACAAATACAGATAAAGACCAGTGTCTTAACTAACCTTTTATGCGCCCGGTGACAGTTTCTGCAGCGTCAGAGCCTGTATTGTGGTAACAGATCTGTTGATAAACATCCTTATATATTTTTAAATACATACATATTAACTGATAACTGCCTCGGCGATGCAGTGGTAGCGTTTGCGACTGATGTGCTGAGGTCTCAAGATCGATTCCCGGGTCGGTCCAAATGTTTGTATGATCTGCAAATAGTTTTTTTCGGAGTTTGGGTGTTTTCTATGTATAATATGTAAGTATTCTATCAGTCAATCTAGCTTTCATAGTACAAGCTCTGCTTAGTTTGAAACAAGATGGTGTTGTGTCAGATATCCGAAATATTTTAATTATATTATAGATAAATTACACCCAGACACAGAATAAATGATCGTGCTCATCACACAAATATTTGTCCTTGGTGGGAATTGAACTCACGACCTCCGGCTTAGCAGTTAGTGTCACTAAATAGAAATGGAAAACTACAATTAGTAAAAACGACTGTAAATAAATCCGGAAAAAGACTAGACTTCATTGATAGTTTTAGAAGATAATAAAAATTAAAAGAAGAAATTTATTAAACCTTTTTTTGAAACGTTAAACTTTTCAGAAATCATTAGATTGCAAATGGGTTGTGTGTGGTTAATTTTCAAAGAATACTAACTATGAACGTAAGTAGATAATATGTTTGGGAATGTAAATTAAAAAAATATTGATTGTTATAAATATTGATAAGTTAAACTACATTAACTGATTTTTACTTTTACTGATATATGTATTTAAATATAAACTAAAACGCTTAATTATAAGTATAATTTATAATTCATTGCTGCAAAATCTATACAAACACATTATAATCCATACTAGTCCATACTAGTATTTTAAATGCGAAAGTGTGTGTCTGTCACTTCACGCTTTAGCCGCTGCCCATTTAGATGAAATTGTTATAGAAATAGTGAGTCCCGGAAAAGGACATAGGATAGTTTTTATCCCAGAAATCATCCTTTAAGGGGGTGAAAGGGGGCGTGGAGATAGTTTGATTCTTAATAAAGGACATAGGCACTAAAATAATAAGTATATACACATATACATCCGTATAAAAAGTAAGTTAAATAATTTTAGAATCATAATAATTTAGTTTAAAAAAAACATCCCAGTTAAACAGACAGAGTTACATTATCACTTAAAGTATTTAGTTATCAGATAATAATAAGTAAGTGGGTAAGCTATGGCGTCAAATTGCCGTACGTGTTGTCCTGCTCACACCATAAACAAGTATTGCGTAAGATGCCGCATTGATGACGTCACTTGACCTATAGTGTAAAAATTGGGTCAACCATGGGATGAGGACGAATACACTCCGTTTATCACTGTCATGGCTGTGTATGTGGACGTTAACTCAGAAATTATACACAATAGTTTTATGTAGTTTTGGCTTTATTTTCTGAATGAAAGATACTCGTATGTCGTTTCTGTTTACTTGAAAAGGCATAAGTGAAATTCATGATTGAATAATAATAATGACCTCGCACATCTCACACACATTTTTATTTTGTTAACGGGCTATAAGACCTCATGGATGTCCTTCGTCCATTGAGGGATGGCAAAGGGGTCTGTCAGACTCTTACCGACTAAAAACCACCCCGGTGTTCCTCTCCTTGCCAATGGCCGGTGGTGCGAGAATCGCAGTTGCATTCTTCTACCGCAAACATTTTTTGCCGGAGGATGGAGGCGGCAGGTATCCCGGTACCTCTCGCATGCTAAGCGAGCGCTCTATCATCTGAGCTACGCCCCCTAAACTAGGCAGAGCCTGTTCTATAGTAACCAAACAGCCGAAAAACATACTTATCACACCCAGACACAGAACAAATGATCGTGCTCATTACCCATTTATTTGTCCTGGGTGGGAAATAAACCTACGACCTCCAGTTTAGCAGTCCACTAGACCAATAGGCCCGTCATTGAATAGTTTTAGCGTTAAAACTTATCGTGTGGACTTATTTATCACTCTTAAGACTCCTAAGAACTCCTAGAAAATAAATTAATTATCTGCCAGCACTTTTATTTAAAAATTCTTTGGGATGCGTAGTTTCCATTCTGTTGCAAAAATAGCAACTCGAGCTCAACTCTGCTTTATTTTCATTAACTTATCCAAAGTCGTTGACTGATAAAATCTTATGAAACAAGGGGAGCACTGCTCTAGAATTCTCTACGAACATGCTTTTACATTAGGGCAGAGGGGCCATTCAATAATTACTTAAGGTTATTTAATGACCCTCTTTCATCAACAGCCTTTAATAGTCATGGACATAGGCCTCTCCTTAGGAAGGGTTTTGGCCTACTATACAACGGGCCAGACTCGACAGAATGAACCCTTTACGGTCACTCAATTATAAGTTATCGTTATGGACAGCATGACCTAACGTTAGGAAAAAATGATGATCAAAGATTAAATTGTAGCGATAAAACGGCCATGAGAATCTAATTTCTCAGAAACGTTTAGTTATCCGAGTAACGCCGTCGTATCTAAACAATCTATACATCATATAAAATTATCAGGGGTTACAAACTTGACTTCCTTTCTAGGGTATAACTGGTTCCCCGGCTATTAGTACCCGAGACGGCGTGCGGTTTTAGTCGGTTCGAGTCCGACATGCCACCGACAGGTGGTATCCGAGGGGATTTCTGCATAAAAAAAAGGGGTTACATGTTTTAAGCATCCACTTAGAAAGGATTTTTGAAAATTTCACCCCTTTTATAAACGGTTGTATGAAAGTTCGTAATTTTCAAAGTTAGAAACACGAAATACTAACACACAATAACTAGTAATAAATATTATAACTAAAACATATTGAAGATATATATACTGCCTTAGATTCCTTTGTGTATTTCAGCATGAATATGATTATCGTTACGACTCTGTGGAGGTCAAAAACTAATGAGGCATTAAGGTTTGCCATCAATCAATGTCAGAAGTCGTAAACATTGTTCTTTAAAAGCTATGCTAGTGCCACAAAACAGTATAGCTATTTGATGGCTTTATTATAGCTATATTATGTTTTTATGATAATAATTAAATACATTAAATATAGAAATGAATTAAAATACTAAGTAGCAGTACATTATGCGGTATTATCGCAGTCTGCGATCTTTTACGGACAACCTGAGGGTAGAATAACTAAAAATAGTAATAAATAAACAATTATTTAAGTGTAGAGAACCTTTGTATTGTACAGCAAAAACGGAAATTGATAAAATTGCACAAATAATATCGGTTACTAAATTTACAGTCTAAATTTACAGAGGGCTTAAGGATAATAAGAGGAGTTGTAGCACGTGTACTTGAACTCTTTACCAAAAATAAGATCTTTGTTTTTATTTCTAAAGAATATGAAATACGTAATCATATAACTCTTATCATATAAAAACGCACATATACATACATACGTTTAATAAATAGAGAAAAAATAGGTACATATAATTCAATAATAATAGATAGATAGATAACTCTTTATTTGCACACATTTTACAAGTATTATAGTACATAAAAATATCAGACATGTAAGGTACAAAAGGCGGGCCTTATTATAATAATATATTTATTTGTCAGAATTGTTAG